ATCTACATGTGAAATTAATGAAAAGCAATAAAGTCTGGAGCAGTTAGTGCTGGAGTAAATTGCTCCTGGGCACAGTGTCTACATGTGTGTCTGGTACAGCAGCAATTTGAGCCAGGGCAGAGCAGGTCCCCAGCTGACTAGGCACAATTTACACCCTCAGTCACCATCTACTCATGTGTTTCAGTGTAGTAAAGTACTCTGCCGACAATACTATCCTATGGCAGAGTTAATTTGTTTACTGGGCCCTAATACCAGCACACATGTAGACTTTGACACTTTACTACAGAGCTAATTAGTCTATCCTGCAGTAAAGTGCACATGTAGATGCACCCACTGATTACCTCGATCCAAACTTGTTATTTAAGGAATCCAAAATGCAGCATTTATTAAATGCTTTTCCTGTAAAAAAAAAAAGTTGGAAAATCATTTATTAAAAATGAACTAAAACCTAATGTTTCAAGATTAATTGTATAAATACAGTTTTACAGCTAGATTATAAGTTACACACAAACAGTCATAATGGAAAGACAGAGGCAGCCTTAACTCTGCTCTGACATGGCTGGCAATGGCTCTGACATACTGAATTATATAATCCAGTGAGAATGGGGATTAGGGGAGCTATAAAATGCAAGCAGAAGCAGGTTGGACCATGTGATTTCTTGAGGTCCCTTCCAGCGTTACTTCTCTACGAAGTGTGCTTGGGCTATACCCTGAGCATAAAACTAATTTTGAATGTTTAAGTGATATATAAGCCTGTGTGCTGGTGCCCTGCACCTTTTACTCAGAAGTTATCTTAGAAGGCATTGGGTATGGCTACATGAGATGTTTACTGCAGAGCTGACTAATTAGATTTCATAGACGTTAGGGGTGAAAGGGACCTCACAAAATCATCTGGTCCAGCCCCCTGCCTAAGGGCTGGAAGTCAGCTGGGGTCACAGGACCCTAGCAAGATAACCATCCAAATGTATCTTGAATGTGTCCAGAGTTAGGTGCTTGCACCACTTCTGGGGGGAGTCTATTCCAGACTCTGGAGACTTGAATGGTAAAGAAATTCTTCCTTATGTCCAGTCTAAAATGGTCTTCCAGCAGTTTGTGTCCATTGGACCTTGTTTTCCCTAGGGGAGCCCTGGTGAAAAGATGTTCTCCCAGGTCCTGATGTACACACCTGATATACTTATAGGCTGCCACCAAGTCCTCCTTAGCCTATGCGTTTCCAAGCTGAAGAGTCCCATGCCTCCCAGCCTCTCCTCATATGGCCTGCTCTCTTGACCTCTTATCATGCACATGGCTCTTCTCTGGACTCTCTTGAGCTTCTCCATGTCCTTTTTAAAGTGTGGAGCCCAGAGTTGGAGGCAGTACTCCAGCTGCAGCCTCATCAAGGCCAAGTAAAGTGGGACAATGACATCTTGGGTCTTGTTTGAGATGCATCGGTAGATGCATGCCAGAGTTTTATTTGCTTTGCTGACTGCAGCATCTCATTGGTGACTCTCATTCATCCTGTGGTCAATCATGACCCCCAAGTCTCTTTCAGATGTAGTGCTAGTGAGTGTAACACTGCCAAGCCTATAGGTATGATGTGGGTTTTTCTTCCTGAGGTGGAGCACGTATGTTGAAGGTCATCAGGTTTGTATCTGCTCACCTTGTGATCCTATCCAGGTCACCCTGGATCCCCAGCCTATCCTCAAGCGTAACAGCACTTCCCCATAGTTTGGTGTCATCCACAAACTTAGCCAGTTTGTTTCTGACACCCAAATCCAGATTGTTAATGAATATATTAAAGAGTACCAGTCTGAGTACTGAACGCTGAGGGATGCTGCCGGTCAACATATGCCATGCTGACTCAGTTCCATCAACAATCACTCTCTGGGTCTGACTGCAGAGCCAGTTCCTGAGCCATTGGACTGTAAGGTTGTTGGGGCCGCAGTTCCCCAGTTTTTCCATGAGGACATCATGAGAGACCAAGTCAAAGGCTTTTCTGAAATCCAAGTAAATTACATCAACCTTCCCCACCCCCCACCCAGGTGATGTGTCACCTGGGCATAGAAGGAGATTAGGTTGTTCAGGCATGACCTACCCAAAATGAAGCTGTCTCTCCGAATGGTGCCTTTTGTCAGTCTGTTGTTGATTAATTCTTTGATAATTTTTCCAAGTTCTTACCAGGGATTGAGGTCAAACTGATTGGCCTGTAGTTCCCAGGATCTTCCTTCCTTCCTTTCTTAAAGATAGGCACCACGCCAGCCCTCTTCCAGTCTTTAGGAACCTCTCCTGAATGCCACGATTTCTCAAATAGCCACACCAATGGTTCAGCTATGATGTCAGCCAACTCTTTTAGTACTCCTAGGTGCATTCCATCAGGGCCTAATGACCTATGGATGTCCAGTCTCTCAAGGTGTTCCCCCACAAGGTCTTCACTAAATGTAGGCATATGCTCATCTGTACCTGCATAGTTCTGTGTCCTTTCAGGCAGGGTGACCCCCTTGGCCTGGTGGAAAACTGATGCACAGTAAACATTGACGAGATTAGCTTTTTTCTGGGTGTTTGATTAGCTTTTTTCTGGGTGTTTGATTCAGGAGGGGTCCAAAGTGGCCCTTATTTTTATTCTGACTTCCTATGCATCTAAAAAAGGAATTTTTTATTGTCCTTGATTCCTGTACCCAGCCTGAGCTGGATATCTGCCCTAGCTTTTCTGGTTTGCTCCATACAGGTATAGGCCAGTTATGCATAATCCTCCTTAGAGGTATTTCCCATCTTCCATCCCTTATAGGCTTTTCTTTTAAGATTGAGGAGGTCCATGAGTTCCCTATTTAGCCAAGGGGGTTTCTCAGCCCTTTTACTATCTTTTCTATGGGCTGGAATGAACTTGCCTTGTGCTTTTAGGATTGCGTCGTTAAGGAGCGACCACTCTTCTTGGACACCCTTTCCTGTCAGATCATGATCCATCAGGGCCTCAACAACCAACCTCCTAAGCTTGTAAAAGTCATCTTTCCTAAAGTTGAGGATTTCTGCATTGCTGACTGATTTGCCAGCTTTGCAATGAATAGGGAAGGTGATCAATTCGTGATCACTGTCACCAACCTTCCCTTCAATCCTCAAGTTGCTCACTAGATCATCCCCTTTGACCAGAACCAGATCTAGCAGTGCCTCACCTTGTGTCAACCCGTGGACTTCTTGAGTCAGATAGAGCTCATCAGTGCAGGTGAGGAAGCTGCACAACAAATCAGATTTGGCTGAATGCTCCTCCCATGAGATGTCAGGGCAATTGAAATCACCCATGATAACTATGCATCGAGAGCATGCAGCCTCTGTTAGTTCCCTAGAGAATTCGTGGTTGAGCTTTTCCTCCTGGTTAGGAGGTCTGTAATAGACTCCTACAGTTATATCCTCTTCACCATGTTCTCCCTGTATTCTATCCCAGAGGGTTTCAAGTCACTCTTCTTAGCTCTACAGTAAAGTCTCAGCATCTACACATTTGGCCCTATTAGCTCGCAGGAAACTAATAAACACTGTGAACTGCACCAGACTTCACTGCATTGCACTAATATCACAGGTAGATACACCCTGTGTGGGCTAAATACTAGGAACAAATCTGTGAAGGCCTGACAAGAGAAAGTCTATTGTAATAGGCCAAATTACCAGTCAGTCTAAACTAAGGCAGTAACTACAAGCAGAGCTACGCTGATTTATATGCTAATTTATGACAATGAAGTTCTTGCTTAGTTCACAGAGAAACATAGACAAGCAGGGCTGGAAGGGTCCTCAGGATCATTTAAACCAGGAATGGCCAACCTGCGGCATGAATGCCAAAGGTGGCACAGGCAGACTCTGTGTGTGTGGTACGCAGCACATTAAGAAGCAAGTGGGCAGGCAGCAGAGCAGCAGATCAGGAAGGGAGCAGAAAGCAGAGCAGGAGACTGGGCAGGGAGCACGAAGTAGGAAGCAGAAAGCAAAGCATCAGGATGGGGATTGAAATGGCACTCAGGAGAGGTGCAGGGCTAACATGTGGCACAACTGCCAAAAAGGTTGGTCCCCACTGATGGAGACCAACCCCCTGCCCAAGGCAGGATCATCCCTGCCTACACCATTCAAGAAACCTATGACAAGCACATGAACAGCAGCTGTGTAGACCTCCCGACAAAGTGCTACATCTGTAGGGATGTCTACACAACTAAATTAATGTGCAAAATGAAGCTACCAGGTAACAACAGCCATTTCAATCCCCATCCTGCTGCTTTGCTTTCTAACAACCAGAAGATGAGATGGACCTTGTGTACATACTTTGGTGGCTGGCTCTTGCTAAAGCTTCTGCCATTGTATTTCTACTGCTACTGGTATCCATGCCAGCTACATCAAAATTAACACAGGTAGGCTAACACATTCCACAAACATTCCTCTGTTTTGCTTTGTAAACACACCCTGTGTTTTCAATAGGTATTTATGAAGGAACAATGTGGAAGATTTTTAACTGCAAGTACAGCAGTGTTACCTGGCAACCCCACATTACCTCCTGGCAAATGTCTGTAACATATACACCATAAAACACAGTATCCAGTGCAGTGTGGATGTTTCAGCTAAATTAATAGGTCTTAACCTCACTAGAAAGGTACATCACTTTTAACTATGGTGGTGTAATTCAAGTTGCTTCATACAGACTATCTCCATATGAGAAGGGGAATAACTATACTAGTATCCATTCCTTTATACTGAGATAACTATATCTACATTTGGGCAAATGCTGGTTTCACTATTAGGGTAAGAAAAAAATGATAACCTTGAACAAAATAGTTGCATCAGTACAAGGTTTAGGTATAAACTAGGCTTTAATATATTTTAAAGAAGTAAGGGTTGAGTTCCAATTTAATCCATAAACTACTAGTTAGCATGGATTATGTTCCTAGTATTTCAGTTTCAGTCTAAACTGTGTGTAAATGTTTTTTCAAACTGGTTTTACTCCAGCTGGACAATGACAATTTTTATTCTTCATTATGTTTGTCAACTTCTAGCTGCTTCCTTTGGACAGCTGCAGAGGAGAGGAAATCAGGAAAAAATGACAAACGTTGCATGATAGTACCCCAGACTGAGCTTGTCCAAAGAGGTCAGAAATATCAGCCCTGTTCAGCAGAAGCCATTTCTTCTTGATTTCACAGAGGTTTAAGTTGGAGCTTTTGATCTGCAGTGGTTCTGGCTCAACTCTTCTGCACAGCCTTTGCTGTCACCCCCGGAAAAAGAATTCCTAATCACAGATGTGGTCAAACATTTACAAAACATCTTTAAGTGACTAGGATATAAACCTCCCAAGTTCTTTTAAAATTGCTACAGGTTAATTTAGAACCAGATTCAACCATACCCCTTACATAGAAGACAAAAGGAGCCTTTCCCTCTTGCTCAAACAGTACAAGAAGCCAAACAGAATTTCAGCACTTGCATTCATGGGCATGAAATTGCAGGGCCTTCCATACAATGCTGGAGTGCAGAGCATCCAACGGGAGCTAGAGAAGGCTAAAGAGGCAGGACCATGGCCAAAATGCCTTAAGCCCAGCTGGCTGGTTGCACAGGCAGACAGAAAACTTCACTGGAAAGAATGAGGCGAGGAGATCTAAGTGAAGTGTAAAACATACTGAGAATTCAATGACATGTTGACAAATACCACTCCACTTTTTTCCCCCCTATCAGAACCTAACAGCAGAAGAAGAGATTTCTAAAGTGGTGTTTTTACAGGCCAGGCTTAGCCTCTCTCTCATCTTATCAGCAGCCTTCAAAAGCCTCCAGATGGATCTCCTCCAGAAAAAAAATCTCCACCTTTCTATATAAATACATTGGCTCTATCATGTAGGCTTTGTTATAGCTTGAGAGGCTTTGGAAAAACACACCTGACTTTCAAAACTGTTCTCCACATACTCCAACCCACAAGCTTAAGAGCAGACTTAATGTTGATGAGAAATATTTAAACTGAGATGCTGACTGGGACACAGGAAACAGGAAAAGTGGTTGCCTGAACTGCAACATCTGAGAGGGGAGGGGAAAAGAACTTATGGTTCAGATTTTCATACCCTCAGACCATGTTTATGCACAACCAAATTTCCAAGCACCAAAACCTGCACATGTAGGTGACAGTGTTAGGAAAATGTGCACACAGCTGCAAAAGATGGCATGAAGATCCACATAGAATCAGGCCCTATTTTATTCTTATTCCATGTCTACAGAAGTTGTTTCTGAGGTCTCAGATTTAAAAAAAAAAATCACAGATTAGCTAGTTTTCTAGCTTTTAGTGTAAGAAATACATATCACTGCTGGAAAAAACCCACCACTCACATTTGTTTGTTTACCACTCACCATTATCAAATGTAAATTTCATTTCCATTATCAAATGTTATATTTCAAGAAGAAATATAAACTAGTTTTTTTCTGTCTTTTATTTGAAATAAAATTATTTAAGTCTCTGCAGCAGAGTTCAAGTATTATTCCAGTTCAGAAAAACTCTAACTGACAACACATGGCCAATGGCATAAAAAGTAATGTATTGTCAGAACAACTCTTACTGGTGAAGTTGCTGATGCTCACAGCAGGATACTGGCGTGCAGCGACCTCTGACAGCTGACTAACCCTTTCCTAGTTGTCTTATTGGCCGCAAGACCCACAATGCCCTTTTCTTCTCCTAATCCAGAACAATTATGAAAATGTGCAGTACTTGTCTAAAACAACAAAATTGTGTCCTTAGAGAGTGATAGACCCATCTGTTTTACAACAGGTTAATCAGTCTTTTTAGAACATAAAAAAATGGAACCACCTTCAGTGACTCTGGTCAAATGCTAGCCATCTGTTAAATATAAAATGTATTTTTTCATAAAATATTGTCTGCATATATTTGTCATGGTCATGAACTATATTTTAATGCACCTTTGGCTACTTCATCTGTACTCTTCCCACTCCACCCACTCGCCTACCAGGATTACTGCTAGAATCTGGAATAGACTTCCCAAGGAGGTGGTGCAGTCCCCTACCTTGGAAGTCTTCAAGAGGAGACTGGACAGACACCTTGCTGGGATCATTTTATCTCAGTGGTATTCCTGCCCAGAGCAGGGGGGTTGGACTCATCTTTCAAGGTCCTTTCCAGCCCTTAATATCTATGATTCTAAATCCCTGAGCTGACTGAAGTTGATAGCACTTAAAAATTATCTATAAACATTTCTTCCCCTTCCTCAAAGGGTGGGATTTCCTTCTAAAATCATGCAGGTTCAATGCTGCCAGCTCTCATGACATTCCTGTGCGTTGGTGTCATTGTCAATCCCCTCCCCCACAACTGCCAACATCAAGTGATGACGGAAAAAAAGCTCAGATTTCATTAAAAAGACTTTCTAGCCCTCAAGCTTATAGAGAAAAGTTTGAAACCATATGCCCTTGCAAATGAGAAACCATAAAGCACATGTAATAAACCAAGAGTTCATTATTTTTAAAACCTCATGATTTTTTAGTCATTCACATTAGTTTTGTATACTTGGGGAGAGCAATACTACAGGCTGGAGAGGCAGAATGGGAGGCGTTCAGTCCTAACCCAACAGCAGATTATGGTTACACATCTTGTGTTGACATTAAGATTTTAAAAAAGGCTGTCATTACAAAGGGGAGTTACCAACCCTTCCAATGGAGAAAAAACAGTACTCAGAAATCAAACTGTCATCATATATATAGAAATGCTATTGCTGATGATTTTTAGATGTGGCTTCTTTGTGCTGATAGTTTCTCATTACGAAAGACTCTGATAGCATGGTAATGACCCTTTCTCCTTCTTTATGCCAGCACAAACTGGGGATGAATCTGGCCATATACAATGTAGAATATATTGTTTCCATACAGAAAGCAGACATTCTATGTAGCACATGGACCAGATTCTCAACTGGCATAAATATTAGCATAATTTCACTGACGTCAGGATTTATGTCAGCTTGCACCTTCCTGTCCCTATTTTATTTTGTGCTATTCCTCGTTTTTCAGTCAGCTCAGGTTTTATTCTTAAAACAAAATGAATTACTTAGATACATGTTTGTATTAACTATCTTTTCTACACTTTAAAAAGTGCCTTTGTTTTTCTCTACAGACTTCTCACAGTTCACCTGAGAATCCATAAAGCACTGGGAAAACATGGCATTTTCTAATTATATTTATAATAAACTAACGTTTAGTTCCATGCATTAAAACTAGAAGGCTCTCCCTGGAAAGATTAACTGCTTTCTTAATCTCAGAAACAAATTAGAAGTATCTGCTTAGCTGATAGAAGTTCAGTGTATTAAAAAAGAAAGCAATATTTCAGGAAGGTTTTCCTCTCTGCATATTCATTACCAAAAACAAATTTCAGTTTTTACTATGGGTACAAAATTTCGTTCAAACTGTTCTTAGTTAGATAAAGTTAGCACTGAATTCACTGGGAAGTTGGCCTGTAACATGGTAAGGACTATAGAATTGAGTATTATTTATAGCATGTTAAAAATATAATTTCACATAAATGTCAGCATGTACCTATCAAATCTTTACATTCTTCATTAAACTAATGCTTCCTAACATAATGAAGAAAAGGCTACAAAATGTAAGTGTATTGTAATGTTCTTGTATTAAGGTAGAGATATCAAAATAAATTTGCAACCATATCATTATATCAATCTCCAGTATTACTACATTAGTACTATAACCAGAATTAACTAGCTTCAGGTCAAATTACTAATAAATCTTTAGAAATTAAATGTATAATTTGTCAAGACCATATGCCTTCACAAATTGATTATTCAGAATTTAGAAGCTTTTTAATTAGGAAGAAATTTATGCAATACTGTGTGTAATAATTACGAATCAGCTCTTCTGTAATATTTTTGTACATCAGCAAAAATTAAAATATTGGAAAACATTACCAGGTCATTGCACTATTTCAATGTCAAAAGCAACACATAGCTTAAATTTAGAGGTTAAAGATATCTTCCCGTATCTTTTACATCTTACATAGCTTTATGATCTCAGGACTAGAATCATTAACTGAATACAAAATCAATGTGAAAAAGATCTAATCTGACCATTTTCAAGTGCACAGTCACTAAACATGATTTATACTACTGTAAAACTTTTGCTGTGGTTCTATAGTTTTACTAAACAGCTTATATTCAGAGTCATACTTTCATTTTATGCCACACTAAATAACAGTATTTTGTATTTCTCCAGTGTCTTCTAGCCAAAGGTCTCAAAGCATTTTTACAGATATTAATAAATGGAGCTTTCAGAACAACCATTAGAGTTAAATATTTTGCACCCTTTCTTGATCACAGGAAATTAAGGCACAAGAATGTTATGTGATTTGCCCCAAAATCAGACAAGGAGCTTGTGACAAAGATGAAAAAATACGCTGGGTCTCCTGATTTCCTCTCCTCTGCTTTAACGACAAAACTATTCAGCTTCTTCACCCCCACAACAGCTCTGGGTACTTCTATCAACATTTCATAGGAGAAGATTTTTTTGACAGAGAATACAAAAGCTGCTTTGTTAGTCTGGACACTTTTTTTCCTACCTAATAAAAACATGAATAGAAGTGGGACCTCAGTAAGCATATGGCAGAAAGTCTGGACTAACTGAAAAAGGGGCCTAAAAGAGTTTGCTCTGTCATTCTCAAACAAGTTTACTGCTGAATGTATATGGTGAAAATGAGGGGTACACAGAACAGACCATAATGGAACATTGTTTATGTGCACAACTTGGCAACTGCATATACAGTACAGAGACTATCTCCAAGCAGAACAAAAACGCAAAGGGGGAGTGATGACAATCAAGTATTCCAAGGCAAGAAAAATGTTATTTCATATACAAACCAAATAAACTGATGTGGTTTCTCCCCTGCTATGATCCAACTGGCAGCTATCAAGTGCACACATTATGTAGCTGTTTAAGAAACGAGAAGTGACCCAGTCTTACATATAATATTGGTCTAAGGCTTCTTTGTCTTAAGCAGTCTTCCTATGTTTTCAATACCACAAGAAAAACAGTTAAGATTTTTTTTCTTTTTTTGGATGCATTTTCTCCTAGCTAGAAGAAAAGATGGGGACAGAGCTTGTAGTAAACACCAAAAGGAATTAAGCCACATCTTCCCCCTTTTGAGGTCGTATTGAAAGATACCAAGCTATTTCTTTCTTCTGAAGTTCTTTCTTGCAAACCTATTACATGGCTTTAGTGAGTGACTTGAGGGTGATGATAACTGAGAGGTACTTATGCTCTTGAGAGAATTTTTCCTTTTAATCATTGCTCATGAAGAGAGGGAGCGCCTGCAAAACCTCCCAGTCTCTGCAGTCTACAGATAGCAAGCGATGGGCTGAACATTTTTTTTTGCTTCCTTCTACAGACTAGAATATCATGCTTTGACAGCCGCTATGCAAACAAATGAGAGTAATTTTATTCCTACAAAACCCACTTCAAACATCTACCCAACTGAAAGAGAAAAAAAGATGACAAGTTAGAAAACAGCAGGTGGAGTGACAACAGAACCATAGACAGTAAACAGATAAAGCAGAGCATTTTATGCAATTAATAAGCCTCTTGTACATTAGACATTGAGAGGACACAGCTTTATTAGGGGATCACTTAGGATCCTGAGCAAATTATTGTGCAGTGTCCTTCATAGAAACCTAAACCTAGCCTGGAATTTCAATTAATGTGAGGCACTGTTAATAGATAAAGGCAGGATCTTCTCCGCAGCCCTCGCTCTTGCACTTAATAGAGCTTGAAAGGAAAAGTCAAGATATAAATCCACACCCATATTATATTTTTCCAAGATATTCTATATTAGTTACTGAATCAAAAAGCATGGGTCCCAAAGCCCCTAAGCTTAGGCAGGTATGAAGTCTTATGTGGAATTTATGGATTGCGTGCATTTATTCACCAGCCTGTCCTGGAAAACTTT